ATCTGGAGTCTACAGCCCTAGAAAAGAGATTGCTGGTCAACAGGAGGGTACATTTGTGACTCGGGAGCTTCTTTCCTTCTGTTGTCCAAGTAACAATGTATCTGCTATTACAGGCATCTGTTAAAATGCTACAGTATCTATATTAGCAATGATAGGCCTCAAACTTTTGAATCTTTGCCAAGGTCATATGTGAGAAATTGAATCTCAGCATAGATTTAGGCTGCATTTTCTCGATACAAATAAAAGCAAACATCTGTTACTTTGTTACAAGCCTTTAAAAAATTATTTCATTTGAGGCCTCAGAAATCTCTGGGGCCTTGGGTAGTAGATCAGTGTTTACCATGATGTATGAATGATCTTTGGGAGCCCATTCCAAATAGAGGGATGCTCTCTCAGCCTGGACACATGGGGAAGGGCCTAGGTCCTGCCCTAGATGAAATGACAGACTTTGGAGATCCCCCCCAATGAGGGCCTCACCCTCCCTGGGGAATGATGTGGAGATTGGGTAGGGGGTTGGGAGGGCTGGTGGAGGGACAAGGGAGGAGGGGTGGGAGAGGGAGCTGGGATTGACATGTGAAGCATTCATGTTTCTAATTTAAATAAAAACATATATTGAGGAAAAAAAGAATTTGGAATATAGCAAAAAAAAATCTCTCTTTTATAAAAGGCTGTTGGCTTTTCTATTGTTTTTGTTAGTTTATGTGTATGGGTGTTTTTTCTGCGTGTCTATGCACCATGCTTGTGCCCAGGAAAGGCTAGGAGACGGCATTGGGTCACCGAGAACTGTAGTTACCGAAGGTTTTGAGCAGCTTTGTGGGTACTGGGAATTGAACCCAAGCCCTTTGGAAGAACAGCCAATGCGCTCATCTGCTGAGCCATCTCTCCAGCTGCTGTTGCTTTCTTTTTGTCTAGGGTTATTCGTTTACTTTTGTTGTTGTTCTTAAATATTATTTGATTTTTAGATGATATGTATGTGGACATGCTTGTTTGTATGCCATGTGCGTACAGAAGTCCTTGGAGGTCATGACAGACCTTCAGCTCCCCAGGAGCTGGAGCCTCGGGCAGCTGTGAGTCGGCCTCAGAACCAAACCCAGGTCTTACAGAAGGGCACCAGGCACTCTTAACCACTGAGCCATCTTTCCAGCCTGCTTGCTTTGTGAAAGAGGATCTCATACTAAAGCCCAAGTTAGTTTGGAACATGCCTCGAACTCAGAGCAATCCTCTTGCCTCCGCCCCTCCAGTGCTGACACCACAGGCACGAGCTACTACACCCAGTTGTGGGAGTTTTGCTTTTGTACTTAATGGTTTTGAGACAGGGTCTCAATATGCTCTGACTGGTCCCAAATTCACCACCTTATGTCTCAGTCTCCAAAATAAAGGGATTACAGGTGTATGTCACCATGCCTAGCCTGGACACTTTTGCTATAAACAGAGGGATCAGCCAAAATACAGGCTAGAAATTTAACACAATCAAGTGTTTATGTCGAACCACTAGGAAGTACCACATTGCCACCATCATCTCAATCAGGTAGCTGACTACTCAACAAAGATCTAACTTGCCCAGGTTCATAAGCATAGGAGCTAGAATAGTGGTTCTCTACCTGTGGGTCTCCACATTGTGAGCTGCATACCAGGTAGTTACCATTCGTAACAGTAGCAAAATTAGAGTGATGAAGCAGTGACAAAAGTAATTCTACAGTTGGGGGTCACCACAGCAGGAAGAACTGTTTTAAAGGGTCCCAGCATTAGGAAGAGTTTATCCTGAAATTCACACAAAAAAGGTTCTATTATTTTGACTAATTTGGCTGGATTTAAGTATGCTTTTATTAAAATTTTAAATACTGACCAAGATGGAACTTGGTCAGGATAATCACCTGCAACTTATTAGGTAAGTGGCCCCCAAGACACATGTCAACAGAGCTTACATGGTCAAAACCCATAGGCCACTGTACTTTCCCATGAGTCTTTTTAGTTATTTTCCAAGAACTACAACTCCCAGAATCCCAGGAAGTTATCCGTCTTTGGGCAGGTGGGGCTTACAGGTTAACTTTGGGTCTGACCGGAGGTTGAGAACCACTGATCTAAGATACAAGGACCCCCTCCCCTACACACACACACAGTTCCATGTATTGCCCAATACACAGAAACACGGTTAAGCCTCAACTAACCAAAAGTCAGACTTTAAATTCAGTTTTCCACAATGCTCCAGCTTGGAAGTCATGACCGTAGACTCAGGCCACTGAGCTTCACAGTTGTGACAGTTTAAGAGTAATAGTGTCAAACTTTTATTCACCTGCCTGGCTGGCTGACTTCCCAGTCAAAGCAGATTAGAGCATAGGAACGCTGTGTGGAGTGGGTAACGGCAGGGGAGGACTCCTCAGAAAAGAAGAAAGCAAACAACACTGAGTTTGCAAAGAATATGGCCACCCAGGCCATTGGCTCCTGGGACCAAGGACTCTTGAAAGGGACAGCTAACGTGCCAGTTGCATGAGGGACCACCATCACCACCACGCTGGTGGCTCTGACTCATCTCGGGGCGCACTTGACCTTGTATTTTGAGGGACCTGTTTCTTCTCACTTCCCACTTCTCCCGTCTGGTTTTTGTTTGTTTTTGAGAGAGACAGAGTTTGAGTCTGGCCTTGAACTCCATAGCCTCCTGTCTCTGTTTCCCAAAGGTGGGAATAGGTTTCTTCTTCTGGCCTTTCCACAACAGGCCCAGGGTTCTTGGGAAGAGGCCACAACATCGAATACACCAAATAAAGAGCAGGGTCAACACATGTTGGGATCCTGCTCTGTGTCAGGTGCTGAGCCGGATGCTATCGTGTGTCTCCTCATTTACTCTCCATAACAACTCCCTGAAGCAAACGTTTTACACATCTTGCACTTGTGGAAACTGAATGTTAGGTCATTTTCCCAAGATCTTGACAAACAGAGGCATGTGAAACCAGCCGGGTACTACATCCTGGTGCTGCTGAGAGCTGGATTTGTGTCCCCTGCTGAATGTGAATAGGGTCACAGGGCATCCACAGGAGCTGAGGCCACTGTGATCACAAATCATGGCAAAAAAACATGACCCCTCTGGCACCGTGTCCCACTACAGACTGAGCACAACTGCTCTCTCCAAACCATACAACGGCCAATACCAACTTCCTCCCGGCCCTACCTGTGATCCATGCTGCTGCTTGACCAACCCCAGCTGCCGCCTACCTCTGACAGGCTTTGCACTTGGCAATGGTTTGTGAAGAGATGCAGTGAGAACTGTCTCCCCACTTACAGTCACCCTATAATCCTAAGTGAAGGCTTCCCTCTGAAGTCGCTGACAAGCCTCCTTTCCCCCTTGCTGCAAGGAGCAATAAAGCCCACAGGTCCAAATCCCAGGGGCTTTGACTAGGGGACCTTGAATGTCTCCCAAGAGAATTAGTATTGAGCCAAAAAGATCCCCTTGAGTCCAGAGCAGGAGCTTGTGTGCGTTCCACCATGCTGACTGTGGGTCGACGTCTTCTTCAGTTTAGCTGCATGTGATTCATTTGGTAAAGACAGTGTGTCGGCAAAGGACAACTTCAGTTCCGGTGGAGACAAAGCCATTGCCTTGAAAATGTATCTTTTCACCAAGAACGGGTGAAATAAAGAAACAAATGACCGTCAGAGGATGGACACGAGCCTGAAAAGGCAGACCCATGGCGGCTGCAAAGGCTGCTGGATGGAGTAGGGGTAGGGGAGAATGAAAGACTGTTAGGGACAGGAGGAGCCGGGTGCGGTGTGTAAGCCTGGAATCTGGGGACTCTTGGAACTAGAAAGGCTGAGACAGGAGAATTACAAATGCAAGTGCGGCCTGGCCTTCATGGGCATGGACTTTAAAAAATGTTTTAATTAGTCTTCAAAGGTAAAAGCAGGTGTGGTGGTGGCCACACACCGGTAATCCCACCCCTCCGCGCAGGAAGAGGCAGCCGAATCAGAGTATTCAAGGGCACACCAGGCTGCCAGGACTCTTTTCACAAAAGTAAACAAGAAGATTCACACACATAAAGAGAGGATCTCTAGAGCAAGCGTCCAGAAAGTTCAAAAAGAACGAGAATGTCCCGTGGTCGATGCAGAGCCTCCTCTCTGAGCAGGCCAGCCTGGAGTCCAGGAACCTGGGCAGGCAGTCTGGGTCATTTTGTCTCTCAGATCTAATCAGGAGTCCGGGCCCAGCTTCTCCCCGAAGCTTTTCTTTGTAAGAAGCACTTGTGGATGGTGGGTGTTGAAGAGATTCATTTCATTGTACATCTAGGTGCTGTTCCTCTAACCTCTCAGCATTTTCCCCTCAGTTCCCAACTCTGGAGGGTGACAGCCCTGGCCCAGCTGTCCCAGCACACCCTTTCCCACTTCTTTCCTTGTCCCGTTCACACTCCCTGGCTGACGGCTTTTTGTTCAGGCTCCAGCAAAACACTGGAGCAGTTTCAGATCTTTCCCTGAGTGGTGCAGAGGGGAAGGACGCCCACCCCCCCACCCCACCCCCGCCGCCAAACCCTGTTCTGTTGAGGTAGAAGGGCCTCGGTGCCAAGGTTAGATGCAGTTACCCCAGGACAGGACAGACCCAAGCCTGCCTCTGCCTGCCTCTGGCCTTTCCTCCCGGACACACGCATGCCTGGGATCCTTGCAGATACCGGAGACACGGCAGAAGACAAAGGAAGGATACATGGGATATGGTGGGGACAAGATGAGGTGGGGGTGCCAGAGAGCACCAGCTGCACTGGCCGTATTCCGGGACTACCGGAGTGGCCACGAGCATGCTGGGAGGAGGCCAGGATGAGACGGAGACCAGGGCGGAATCCGACTATGGGCAGAACAGAGCAGCTGTCCCTGCTGGAGAGTGGGAGAGAAAAGGGAGGCCTCGGGAGGGAGCAAGGGGTTCCCGGGGAAAAGGGGGCGCTGACAGTTTGCCCCAGGCCTGGTATCACCGAGGGCGGAGGGGAGAGGAGCACAAGCCGAGCCCGCAGCTCGCACCCGCCGCCACTTACCCGCGCGCGCTGCAGCTCGGTCCTGCACGTGCTCGGTTCCTGCAGGCACGTTCCCGGGACACACAGGGAGAGGAGTCGGGCGGGTCTGGACCTTTGTTCAGTCCTGACCCACGGGCGCTGGAGGCGGGGCTGGACCCGGGACTCAGGGACCCTGGCTGCAGAGGCAAAGGAGCTCCAGGCGGCAGGAGAGGCTGCTGCTGACAGGACACTGCCTCTTTTCCTTCCGGGGACACCAGGGAGGTTGCCAACCGCCTAGGTCAGGGCTTTGGCTGAAGCATCTGCTCCAGAGGAGGGAGGTGGGGATGAGCATGTGGCCTACTGTCCACAGGTTCCCCCCCCTTCACACACCCCGTGGCTTGAGACTGCTTCTGGTTCCTCCTGGAGCCTCTCATGCCACCAGTAGGGTGTGAGCTGGCAGGGGTTGGCTTTGCCGTTCTTCCTGGGAACTCCCTCTTTGGCCTTGGGAACCCTCGCACTTGCTTGAAGCTTGGAGCTTGATGTTATGAGTACCTACATCCGAGTTAGGGTAAGCTCCCTGGAGAACCACGCCACTGTCACCCGCAGGTGCTTGGTAAATCACGAGAGGGGACTGAGGCAGAGCGTTGTACCCTGAGTCAATCTTTATAAGATGTTCTTTCCTGTGCGATAAACAGCGGAAAAGAAAACCCTCCCCCTGGCCCCAAATCCCTGGATTTACACTCAGAAAGTAGAGCATTTTGGGGCTGCCCCAGTGGGGAGGAGGCCAGCAGGTGGTTACAGAGGTGGCCTCTCCATTGGTCACCTCTCCTCAAAGCCTGCCCTAACTATTCACACTACTAGAGACCACAAGGACTCTCTGGTTCCTTACACACTTTTTTCTTTTCCTTTCTTTTCTTTTCTTTTTCTTTTTTTTTTTTTCTTGGTTTTTCGAGACAGGGTTTCTCTGTATTGTTTTGGAGGATGTCCTGGAACTCGCTCTGTAGACCGGGCTGTCCTTGAACTCACAGAGATCTGAGATCCGCCTGCTTCTGCCTCTTGAGTGCTGGGATTAAAGGTGTGCCACCAACACCCGCCCTTACATACTTTATGATTCTCCTTCGCCCCATCTGTCATCACTACACTATACTTGTATAATGCATTGTTCTTCCCCAAATTTTCGTCTCACTGAAGACAGTAAGATGTTCGGCTTTGTTCACTGTGCCCAGCTCCGAACTTGAAACTTATTGCAGAATAGATACTCAGTAAATTATGCTTGCATTAGAAAATGGCTGGCGGGAGAGAGCCAGTTTGGGTTCAATCGCCGGAACCCAAGCAGTGGAAGAACTGACTCCTACAAGTTGTTGTCTGTATTGTCTGACCTCCGCATGTGCACCGGTGCCTGCACATATGCCCACACGTGTATATTGTGTGTGTGTGTGTGTGTGTGTGTTTTGTGTGTGTGTGTGTGTGTGTGTGCAGAGAGAGAGGGAGGGAGGGAGGGAGGGAGGGAGGGAGGGAGAGAGAGAGAGAGAGAGAGAGAGAGAGAGAGAGAGATGAACTATCTTGTTTGTTCCTCAAACAGGGATAGGGGGATTATAGGGTTGTCTTCATAAGTTACCCAGTTTCAAGATTTTCTTTCTAGCAACTCAAGTCATGTAAGAGGGTGAAGTCTGCTATCAGTGTCCATTGCCTCCTGAGCTGGGCGGTTAAGCTTAAGAGCATCCTCACAACCATTCACTGTCCATCCTGAAGGGCCCAGTTCTGTCCAGCTCCCCACTTGTAGTTGCTATGCATGAGGGGTATAGATAGTGGGTATTGGATGAGTAAGTCAGAAATTGCTGTCCCTCTGGCCCTGTGCTTCGCCGATGTGACTAGATACTGAAAAAAAGAGAAATCACTATTCTAGTCTGGTTAGGAGAGTTTTAAAATCTACATAATTGGTCCTTTGGCTTCATAAAATCATACAGTGATGCTATCTATGGTTTGAATGTGTTCCCCAGAGTTGATAAGGGGTGGCTAAGACATGAAGGCTCTGCCCTCAGAGATCCTGTCAACAAGGGAGTGGGCTGGTTACAGTGGAAACTGGCTCTGATCAAAGGAGCCTGTACCCCTTCCCCACCCCACCTGCCCCTCTCTTTCCTTTCCTTCTACCTTCTGTCTTGACCAGACAAGAGGGTTATCTAACACAACTTGACCAGGGACTTCTCTACCTCCAGCACTGTAAGAAATAAAATCTAGGTTCTTTATCATTTACCCAGCCTCAGGAATTCTCTCTTCTAGCCTCTCAAAACCAAGTAAGAGCCTTGTCAAGTAGCTGTTCTTAGAGGTTATTGCCCCGTGGCCTGGGGCAATAACCTTTGAGCAGCCCTGGAACTGCACATCCAGGCAGTCCCCACCCTGATGGCTCAGCCTCTAACTAGGTCACCACTTGAAACTGACACTGCAAGTTTCTGAAGCAATGATTTCTCCATGCCTTCAATTTGTGTCTCTCTTGGTATCCTGTGCAGTGGCTAGTCATCAAATGCCAGAGGGAGACACAAGCAGCTAATATAGAGATGACACTCTCTAGGTGCTGTCTCTGGGTGTGGTTGTGAGTACTTTTCCTTTGGAAAAAATAAAAAAAAACCTCATCTAAGCCTCATAACCTATTTTGGGTTCAAGTTCGACAAGGGGAGTGAGACACAAACTGGGCGGAGATGGCCAAGAGTTTAACTCAGGCACAGAGTGTAGCATACAGGATGTGGGTCCTGGGAACCCAGCTTTGGTCCTCTGCAAAAGAGGGCATACTCCCAACAACACAGCCATCTCTTCAGCCCCACACTTTAATTTTTTTCATTATATTGTGCTTCTTGCTGTCAGTAAATAGAACATTTGAAGACTTCATATGCAACAATCAAAACAAAGTAAGATTCTAATTTCAGTTGTGTCCCCCCCCCGTCAATACCCCCCCCCCCCGTCAATGTGTTCCATTAGAAGGAGGAGTGTGGGAACTCTCACTGGAAATACATTGGGGTGTGGTGATATATTATTTATGATTTAATGAAGATTGCCTGAAGTATCAGAATGCCGAGCTGTAGAAACTTGGCAGTGATTGCACTCACCTTTAATCCCAGGACTCCGGAGACAGAGGCAGACAAATCTCTGTTAGATCAAGGCCACCCTGAGCTACATGAAATTGATGCAGTCTAAAAGAGAAACAGCTCACACAAAGGTGATCTCAGCACTTGGGATCCCACACTTTTAATCCCAGGATTTGAGGGTGCAGAGGAAGAAGCAAGGGGCCTCATGTGGGAATTGGTCTCCAGCCACTCTGAGGACAGGACAGCCCTTTCAACCTGAAGTAGAGGGAGAGCTAGTGGCCAGCTGCTTGTTCTGTTATCTTCAGCTTTGAACCCCAATATCTATCTCTGGGTTTTTTTGTGTTACATTGGGGTGCTTATTGTTGGCACGTATTTGCTTCTCAGAAGATTTCACCACATAACTATTTTAAGTTGCAGATCTTGCTAAATGCTCTACTATTCGCTGAGTGAACCCTGCTCTACCCCAGAGTAAGCTCATGTGTCAATCATCGATGACTTTGTGACAGGCTGATCCCAAACTTGAATCATCATTTTTTATGCCTCCTGGGACTTGGGTCAGGGCAGCTACTCCATCATTCAGCTCCAGGTGGCATTAACCGAGGTCCCTCTAAGGGCTTTAACTGTTGTTGGCTAATGGCTTGCTCAGAAAGGTATAGGATATCTCTGCAATATTTAATCCCTTCCGGATGCTGTAACAAAATACTATGGACTGCGTGGCTTATAAACAACAGAAGTTTGTTTTTCACCGTTTGTAGTAGTCCACAATCAAGGGACTGGCAGATTCCGTGTCTGTTAAGAACACGTCATGGTTCTTAGACCAGTTGCCACAAGGCAGAAAGTACCACTCTTGGATATAATTGCCTCTCAACCCCCACCTCATCATGCTATCACATGGCTAATTAATCTTAGGCATATGAATTTTGGAGGAATACAAACACTCTGAAGGATTGCATTCTGCCTCTCCATTAGGGAAATCACAATGACTTTCCATAATGTTTCAATCTAATTCTTGTTTTCATTAAGCAGACAAGGAAAATTCCCATTTTTATCTATTGTTCATATGCATTATTCATGACAAACAGACATCAGCACTGAAGAAACGTGCAATGAAGACCAATTCAGCAGATGTTGGATTCACAGAAACATCCCAAGTAGCACAACTCAGAGCCGTGCAAACTACCCTCATCCCATTATGATCTTTGTTCATTTTTTAAATTAATTTTTAAAGTCCAATCCCAGTTCCCCCTCTCTCCTCTCCTCCCACTCCCTCTACTCCTCCCTCCTCCCATCTGCTCCATGGAGAGGGTAAGGCCTCCCCTAGGAAGTCTACTGAGTCTGCCTCATCATCTAGTTGAGGAACCTCTCTACCGCCACACCTCTGTGTCTAGACTGGGCGAGGTATCTCTCCATATAGAATAGGTTTCCACTAAGTCAATTTGTACATCAGTGTTAGATCTTGGACCCACTGCCAGTGACCTCATATATTGTCCCATTCACACCATTGTCACCTGTATTAAGAGAGTCCAGTTCGGTCTTATGCAGATTCCCCATTTGTCAGATCTGAGTAAGTGATCTCTCACTAGCCCAGGTCAGCTGATTCTGGAGGTTTCCCCATCATGGTCTTGACTACTTTGTTGATATTTTTTCTCCTCCTTCACTTCAATTGTACTCCAGGAGCTTGACCCATTGGTTAGTTGTGGATTTCTGCATCTGCTTCCATCTGTTTCTGGAGGAAGGTTCAAACTTCTCTGGGGTTGTGGATTGTAGGTTGGGTATCTTTTGCTTTAAGTCTGGTATCCACTTATGAGTGAGTACATACTATATTTGTCTTTCTGGTTTTGGATTACCTCGCTTAGGATATTTTTTTTAGTTCTGTCCATTGGCCTATGAATTTTAGGATGTCATTGTTTCTTATGGCAGAGTTGTACTCCATTGTGTAAATGTACCACATTTTCTTTATCCATTCTTCAGTTGAGAGGCATCTAGGCTGTTTCCAAGATCTGGCTATCACAAATAATGTTGCTATGAACATAGTTGAGCAAATGTCCTTGTGGTATGAATGTGCCTCCTTCGGGTATATGCCCAACAGTGGTATTGCAGAGTCTTGGGGTAGGCTGATCCCTAGTTTTCTGAGAAATCCCCATGCTGATTTACACAGTGACTGTACAAGTTTGCACTCCCACTGGCAATGGAGTAGTGTTCCCCTTTCTCCAGATCCTCTCCAGCATAAGCTGTCATCAGTGTTTTTGATCTTAGCCATTCTGATCGGTGTAACATGGAATCTCAGAGTGGTTTTGATTTGCATTTCCCT